GAATATACTGGTTGAGAGTCTTGCTAAGTCATTTTTGTATGGCATAGGCTATAGTTCATGGAGCAAATCCTGTGAAGTGTGAATGGTCCAAGTAAAGTGACTATGCCCTGGTGAGTTCTGTGAGGGTAGAGGGGAAAGGAATCCGTTCGGCTGTGGATAATACTGCAGTAACGCCTCCCTGTGTAAGGAAGAAGAAATTTTGGCCAATAGATCTGTAAAGTCACAGCTCTACCTGCCCCCAAGCCTCTCTGACTGCTGCAACTGCTGGAACCACTGCAACATAAGCTGCATTTAGATTTAGGAGCTAGAGGACAAGAACCACATGTACTATGTCCAGCAGTCACAAAAAAAAAAAATCTCTTTTATAGTCATTACAATAGAGCCCCCCCTGCTTCTTCTCTACTATGGGTAACACTACGGCCCACTACTGAGAAACACCCCAACAGAGTAGGAGATTATAATCTGACCTATTTGAATTTTTGAAGAAGGAAATACTAGTTATCCTGATACAAAACTGTTTACATAGCCATTAGAGGTCAGTAGGATTACACACTGCAGACAGTTTAACTACAGTGAGATGCAGTGTTCAACCAGAACATTAACACTACAAACTGGTGCACTGGAGTTTAGAAATCCTTTACTAAAGGTCTCCTAGGGAAAGCTAATTCCCTTACCTAATGACAATACTAAATAAATATAATCACTAATAATTCATGTGGAAATAAGGACACATTACTTCTATTTAAAAATCAGGATCAACTAGGGCAGGGGTGGGCAAACTTTTTGGCCTGAGGGCCACATCTGGGTAAGAAAATTGTATGGTGGCCCATGAATGCTCATGAAATTGGGGGTTGGGGTGCGGAAAGGGGTGAGGGCTCCGGCTGGAGGTGTGGGCTCTGAGGTAGGGCAGGGGATGAGGGGTTGGAATTGCAGGAGGGTGTCCCAGGCTGGGACTGAGGTGTTTGGAGGGCGGGAGGGGGATCAGGGCTGGGGTTGGGGCATGGGAGGGGGTCAGGGGTGCAGGCTCCGGGCGGCGCTTACCTCAAGCAGCTCCTGGAAGCAGCAGCATGTCCCCCCTCCGGTTCCTACGCAGAGGCACGGCCAGGTGGCTCTGTGCGCTGCTCTGTCCGCAGGCGCCGCCCCACAGCTCCAATTGGCTGCGGTTCCTGGCCAATGGGAGCTGCGGGGCAGCGCTTCGGGCAGGGGCAGTGTGTGGAACCCCCTGCTTGCCCCTATGCATAAGAGCCGGAGTGGGGCCATGCCGCTGCTTCTGGGAGCCGTGCGGAGTGGGACAAGCCCCTGATCCCACGCCCTGGCTGGAGCGCCAGAGCGGGGCAAGTCCCAGATCCTGCTCCCCGGTGGGAGCTCAAGGGCCGAATTAAAACGTTTGGGGGTCTGGATGCAGCCCCCGGGCCATAGTTTGCCCATCCCTGCACTAGGGTATTTGTTTATTAGAGGTTATAAAGGTGCCAATTTTGAGTAGAAATAATCCACTTCATAAATAATAAAGAAACCGGAAATAGAAATAAAACTTCAGCAGCGTGAGAACAGTGAGGCAAAGAATTCCGTAGACGGGTAAGAGCATTGGTGAAGTTAGTGGAACAGGATTCAAGGCAAGTTTTTCATGAAATGCACATGGATATTTCCTACATCCCATTGGGCTCTTCACATCATCAGATCTAATATGATAAATGAAGTCAGGCCCAGCAATCCAAGTGCATTCATGCTATATTTACTGCCAACTTATATTGGTATTATCAGATCCTCCCACTTCGAAACTTATGTAATAATCAATGCCACAAATATTTCATTGAAAAGTGTCCATCATTCAATATTTTATGAAGTATTTGATTCAAATTTAAGTAACAGCTATTAAGCTGTAACTCCATACTCCAAAATGTACAAAATCATCAAGGTTGCAAAGAAAAGTACTCAAAAGTCAGAAAATGGCCAAGTTAAGGTTGTATGGGTGATCTTAACTAAATTAGAGGGAAATAGCTATTTAATGACAAAACTGATGTCCAAAATAAACTTTTACACCACCACAAACTAACCAACCTGGCGATCATTTCCCCTCAGGTGCTGTCTCCATGACACCTAGGGAGCAAGAAGAGCTAATACTATCAAGTCAGAGCCCATGTTGGAAGGGGCAGAGAAATATGCCACCTTTGGGGCCTGGTCCTGATTAACCTGGGAGTTGAAGGCACTCAGCACCTTGCAGGATGGTGCCTTTGAAAGGTAGCAGCAGAGTAAAATGAATAAAACTCATTTTCACATCTGCTGTTCAGAACTACAGCAGCAGAACTGACACAGATCATGACAATTTCACTCTGTTGATGCTTGGGAAAGGTATGAACAGTGCCTGAGGGGCTTTCCTGTGGGAAAGATTATCCAAAAAGACTAAAGTAGAAGAGACCACCACACCTCACTACACCCAAGAGGGTGGAAGAACAGCAAAGATAGCCCCACCAATCCAGATGTTCTAAGACTGACCTGGGAAGTAGAGAGCTCCTTATCCATTCCAGCAGAAGATGGAGCCCTCAAGTAAGGGGCAGGGTCAGCACCACGGTAAGAATCCAGTCATACACACAGCAGCTGGTATTGATCCTATCTTTTGATGGGAGCCTCTTTACCTTATGTTTATACCTAACTCTGGCAATGTTTTGAAGCCCTGTTTATACAGCAACTTTCATCATAAAGAATCACACAGCACTTTGCAAATTATGGCATAGTTAATTTAATGTTAACAAAAGGGGCAAGATGAATAGCCTTGGAGAGTGACAACCTTGGTTCATGCACAGAACGGGTATAGCTCAGGTACAATGCAAGAACTAGAGGCAAACTGGGACACAGAGGAACCTTGGCAAAGCTTCCATGGCAGCTGGAGGCTGTGAGTGAAATAAGCTGGGAGCCTTCAGATCAGTCTGAATGAAGCTGTTGCCAGGCGTGCCAGGGAGGATTGAGTGCAGAACACTGTAATTCACTAGTCCTGCTGCTGTTCAGGAGGCAACTCTCCCAGTCACCTTGAAAGACCAGCAAGGGATCGCAGTGATGGGCTGTTTCCACCTAAGGGCCACCAAAGTCACAGACACCTGCTAGTGAGAACGCACAAAATGAAGATCTGGGAGGGATTTAGTCAGAAAGCCTCCCTACTGCCAGGCCCCTTATAGAATTAGGGTATGTCTACACTACAGGATTAATCCGAATTTAGATAATTCGAATTTGGGAAACAGGTTGTATAAATTCGATTGTGCGCGGCCACACTAAGCACCTTAATTCGGTTTTTAACCACATTAATTCGGTGGTGTGCGGCCACACTACCCCATTAACTTAAACACAGTAATTCGGTGGTGTGCGGCCACACTAACCCTAATTCGAATTAACAAAATCGATTTAGGCTCTACTCCGTTCGTCGAGGTGGAGTACAGAAATCGATTTAAAGGGCCCTTTAATTCGAATTAACTGGCTCTGTAGTGTGGACGGGTGAAGGGTTAATTCGGATTAACGCTGCTAAATCCGAATTAATCCCGTAGTGTAGACCAGGCCTTAGTGACTACTTCTCATTTACACAGCCATCTAATCAGGACACCCCTCTTCAAATCCCACTGTTGAATCCCCTTTACAGCACCATAGGCTTAAACACATCTTTGCCTTAAAAGCTTTTCACAACTCTACTCTTGCTTATATCTCAGACCTTGGATTGCCCCCATGTCAGCCCTCCCACGGAAACCAGTGCCACTACCTCACTCGCCCGTTGCTCTCATTTCTGTGCAGCCTTTTCCCACACTGCTGCCCATGCGCAGAATGCCCTTCCCATCCCCACCAGACAAGCCACAAGATTTCTCTTCAAGCTCCTGTCAGAAACACACTTTGTCCATAAGGCCCTAGCCTACGAGTGAGTTTACAACAAGCCATAACATTAAAACTGAACAAAACAAAAAACCAAACACCTTTCCCAATTAAGTTCACCCCACTCCCCGGGTTTCCCCCTGCATCCCACATTCTAGGCGTCTCTCTTTAGACTGAAAGCTCATTGAACAAGGGCTGATCTTTCTTTTTGTGTAGCTGAGCGCATTGCCTTCTTCAGGGCAACTCAGCTCACCACCAGCGGACAACTTGCTGACCTGGGAGCGAGCAATCAGTGCTGCTCTCGGTGCCTGCTGCCTATCCCCTCCCTGACACTTTGCACCGGGTGCGTCACACCGTAGACATCTATCCCATCACTAGGAGAGCAAGGGCCGCTTCCTCGGACACCCCAGTAGCTACAGCTTGTCTACCCCGCTCCCAGCGCGGCTACGCCCGCAGCTCCTCCGCTCAGGTGCTGCACCTGCCCCCTCCCGCTGCTGCTACGTCTCCAGCGCCTCCGCCCAGGCGCTGCAGCCCCAGCCCCACGCGCCAGCCGCACGTGCCGCTCCAGCCCGGAACGCTCGCGGCAGGGAGGCAAAGGAAGGGAATGAGCGAGGGCAGCGCGCGCACACACCCCCAACCGGCCGTGGTCTCTCGCGCGCTAGCCGCTGAGCCCCGCCCCCGCCTGGCGGGGACGTGTCGGTCCCGCCCAGCTCTCTATGGTTTTGCCCCCACGTCTACCCGGCTGGGCGGACCGTTGTCTGTGGTTGCCGGAGCCGGGGAGGGGGAGGGGCGGGTGTTGCGGCGGTGGCCGCCAGGCTGGGGTCTCGGCCGCGCTGGGGCGCCATTTCCCCGCTCGCCTCCAGGGAGCGCTTCCCCCCGGCGGCCGCGTCGGGGCGCTGCGGAGCCGCCTTCCCACCCTCCCCGAGGCCTGGGGCTGGCTGAGTGGCCGACGTCCCCGCCTTCCCCGCTCTCCCTCCCTCGGGCCGGGACTCGCCGCTCGCCTCCTCCTCCCAGAGCCGCTCGGTGCCTCGCCGCCGCCGGGCCATGGAGTCCGCGTGAGGGAGCCGACCCCCCCCCCGCCGGGCGCCGCGCGCGGCGCCCCCCCCCCCCCCCCCCGTTGGGGGCCGGCCCCCGCCCCCCCCCCCCCCCCATCCATCCCCCGCATCCCGGCGCCGGCTCCTCCCTCCGCCGCGGGGGCCGCGTCCCGCTGCTGAGCGGGGATTGATGCGGAGAGCGACGGCAGCGCCATGCAGCCCCCGCCGAGGAAGGTGGGAGCCGCTGGGGCGGGCTGGG